CATTGAAGCAACTGCCATGTGATTGGTTGATTAGATAATTGCATTAATGAGAAATTGAACAGGTGTTCCTAATAATCCTTTAGGTGAGTGTATAACTGTTACTAAAAGATCTTTAAATGTTCCAGAAGCTTCTGAAATAACTCCATTGGTGTATATCGCTTGCTGTCACGTCCCGATCGTTCCGATCCTCATGTGTGCCACACCCCCTTGTTTAACTCATGTGGAATCCTCTTGTTATCAGTTGGTTGTAATTGTTGTTTAATTAGTTTGCCGTATTTAAGTGCGTGTCAATGTATACTTTGCCAGTCTGGTCATTAATGTTATGATGTCAGTCTTGCTTGTTGCTCTGTGTTCCTGAATGTGTTCTCCCCAAATAAATCCCTTGTTCCCTCCTGTGCCTGCACTTTGTGACACTTGCCCTCAGTTCCTGAAAGGTGCATAGGGTTGAGTGAGTGAGATGAAGGACACACTCCCTTCTCTGCAGGTCATGCCGCTCACCTGCCCTATCCTGACAAACTCAGCCTGTCTCGCCTCTTCCTTCTTACGGGCGGACTTTGGTGACTCAGGCAGGACGTCACTGAATGACCGCCGGTTCAGCATGTTCTGGGGAGAGAAGGGAACCTGCAGGGGGAGAAAAGCAGAGATGGAAAAGGGTTCAGCATAGGCCCGTGGCAGCAAGAAACGGCACTGGGACAACACGGTTCTAGGAAAATCAGGAACCAGATCCCGCTGCCAGCAAGCATGGTCAAGCACCGCTTTACCCTTTTAGTACCAAGTATACTTGTGAAAGGAGATTCTTTAGCCATAATTCAGCATAGCTGAAGCCTGGGTCTTTCTGTTGTCCTAAGCAATATCTCATAAATGATGTAACAAGATGAGACACATGCAGTGCGGCACTATCAATTGGCCCTTGTGACTGTGGCCTGTTACTTTAAACCATGCAAACCGCAGGGCAGACACCGCAGGGCAGACACTCCAGGGCGAACACCACAGGGCAGACACTCCAGGGCGAACACCATAGGGCAGACACTGCAGGGCAGATACTGCAGGGCAGACACTGCAGGGCGAACACCGCAGGGCAGACACTCCAGGGTGAACACCATAGGGCAGACACTGCAGGGCAGATACTGCAGGGCAGACACCGCAGGGCAGACACTCCAGGGCAAACACCGCAGGGCGAACACCATAGGGCAGACACTGCAGGGCGAACACCACAGGGCAGACACTCCAGGGCAAACACCGCAGGGCAGATACTCCAGGGCGAACACCATAGGGCAGACACTGCAGGGCAGATACTGCAGGGCAGACACTCCAGGGCAAACACTCCAGGGCAGATACTCCAGGGCAGACACTGCAGGAAGCCCTCAGGGGGTGGCCTGGCCATGAATCTGGCAAATACCTTGTAGAGGTCCGGCATGAGGTCCTGGTACAGCGATCGGATCAGCATGTCTAGTGTCCGCTGCCGCTTCTGTGCAAACGTCGGCGTCTCCAGGGTGGCCTTTTCCCCATTAATTACTGTGCAGAAGGAGACAGAGCCCATTGCCAAGGGCCGGTCGCTTATTCTACAAGCACTTCCCTGCCTACATATATTCCGACACGCGGCCTCGCCTCCATGCACCCGGCTTATCGATCTGCAAAAACAGAGGAACTCCAGCAGCTCTGGTGCAGCGCGGCGTCATTACTTACATTTTACTAGCAAAAAGTCCCTGAATTCTTGGTGGTCTGTAAACACTGGCGGGGAGGGAAGGGGGGGTCCAAAAAGCGGCACGCTCTCCTCTGAGAATATCTTCAACCTGTGACACGTCAGAGCAGAGGCACTCAGACTGAGTGCCGAATAGGTGCAGTGGGAGAAACAGGCAAAAGCGGCGGATTTAGCTACCTACCTGTAACTGTCATTCTGACTGTTATATCGAACTAAGGCAAAAATATCTACAGGCGGCATTAAGGGCAAACAGCACTATAATGAGCCGAGAGTACCATTAATAACAATAAGCCTGAATAAAATGTCAATATTTCTACAGTAAGTCACGCCAAAACGTGCAGCTTTGGAAGTGAGCGCTTGTCAGACGTAGCAGCATCTGCCTAAAGGATACGCGTGAAATGGGATCGGATCATGGACGGCTTGAACGATGGGGAAGCGTCGTCCCCTTCTTGGAACACGATCGTGACAATGTCGTTCCCGATATGTCTCTTGCGCTCCACCTGTGACGGCATGCACACGCACAGCCACACAGACACAGCCACACAGAGACAGAGAGCAAGACAATTACATATAAATCTGTGCAAAAGAAAAATTACAGCACCAGAAAAAAGACTTTCAAGCAAATGCTAATGTAATATCTAAAGCAATTAACTGACTGTATTTTCTAACAGTACATGCAAACGTTTGATGGTACTGCAATATGTACAAAGCACACAGCCATTTAAAACAGAGACATTTTTATAGGGTATTAAACTAAACTCTCTGGGAAAAAAATTATTTCCTGTTCAAATGAAAGGGGCTGGAATGTCATCTCTGCTGTTCTTTGGCAGAGACATAGTCTGCCAACACAAATAATATGTAATTACAAAAAGGACTTTTTCAGTGAATGTTGAATTTCAATTATTACTGCATTAGGCAACGATCCCATTGCTAGAACATAAATAAAATAAATTATTATTCATAAGAATAAGAGTTCTTGGCACTCCTTGAGATAACAGGCTGACTCTAGGTCTGTTCTTCATTTTGTTTAAACAAATCAATATGAGTTACAGTTCATATCTCATATTCAGGCTACAGGAAACTTAAGATTCTTATTGACTTTATAAGCTTATTTTACACCCCCCAGAGCTGTTTACACCCTACATGAGGTTGTCTCACCTTTATTTATACAGTATGTTTACCTGGTTATTTATTAATTGCACATAATTGACTGGGAAATAAATGGATTCTGATTTGACAGTCCAACTCTGAGCAATGCCGCCAAATGCGATTTCCGTATTGGCTGTTCTGTCTCATTGAGGGTGTTTCTGAATTCATTGCTACGTGCACCATGGTGTATGTATATTTAAGGCCAACACAAAGGCAGTGAAGGTGGATGAATGTCTGCAGTGAGTGATATACTTCAGCTCCCCTAAATCACTGTTTCCCGATCTGCTCCTCGGGGTCCCACAGACAGTCCATGTTTTTGCTACCGGGAGCTGGGTTCCCAAGGACTGGGGGGGGGGGGAATGCCAAGTCTGTGATCTAGACAAAGGTGGATAGTTCATTCATGTCCATAAAGTAAAAATCCAGACCAAGATTTTGTTTCAACCAACCAATTGAGTATAAAGAGTCACAGTTACAGAATACTCAACTGTTTGGTTGAAACAAAATATTGGTCTGGATTTGTACTTTCTGGACCTGAACTATCCGCCTCTGATGCTGGGTCAGGCAGCCCCTTTTATACATGCATTTGGGTTGGTTCAAAGACACTCCTGTGATCAGAAGGATCTGCCATATGGCTGGATTAAGGCAGAGTGAAAACTTGGAAACATCGAAAAAAATGTTAAGAATACCGATAAAAGAGTGATTATTGAAAAATTAGTTCTTTGGCAGCGAAAGGAGATTGGCCTTTTCAGGACTGCATTCCACAAGTTCTGTACTGCACAATGCAAGTATGCAATGGAATGAAATTCCAGCTTATGTCAACAACTCAAATCAATGTAACTCAAAAGCAATCCAATAAAGACCTCTGAAATAAAAGCCCTCACATAAAACCTCATGCCGTCCAATTGAACTGCAGTGTTACGCATAATCAGTGGAATCAGACTAGCAACAGTGACTCACACTGGTAACCATGACCACCAGGAGACAGACTCCCTTGTAGCGCAGAGTTTTGTTTTTGCCTGTGCAGCATAGAATTGTGGGTAATCACAAACTCACCTGTTGCTTGTTTTCCTTGGAGTATGGCAACATGGTGGACACGTGGAACATGAGCTCATGACCCTGGTATACGGTGTAAATGGAGTGTATTCCTGTAGTGTCATCTATGAGTAGAACATATGGGAAACACTGTGAAATGAAGACTCCATATGCGGACCGTTTCTGAATTTGACATTTATGAGGCTGTGGGGTACAGGCTCTTACTTTTTGTGTCCAGGCCCCCTCTGTACCCCGCCCATCCTTGTAGTGAAATTGTGTCTCCAAGAAGGTTCAGGAACTTGTTAAAGTTTTCACTTCCGGTTTCTGCATCAAAAAAGAAAAAAAACCTCTTATCGACTCTGTCATCAAAATCAAAGCTTCCATCAAAGAACACATTTAACAATCCTACAGTAAAGGGATTTTGTTACCACTGAAGTTGGGAATTCCCATTCCCATTACCATTACCATTACTATGCAAGTACCAGTCAAACAACTGCACACAGCTGTTTTTGTTTCTGTTATATAATAGCTATGCTATTCACCTCATAGTAAAAGATTACAATAAAGCAATGAAGTAACACAGTACACAGCAAATACTGCAATGACCAAGAGAACTGCTTAACATCTCAGTATTTTCTCAGATTTTGGACTTTTCAAAATAGCCTTCTTTTGCTTTGCTTGTCTAAAGTGGTCTAGAGACATATCTGACAATATGTAAATATACTTAATAAACTGCCCACTGAATATAATAATCCATAAATACAGGACTTACCGTTGCTAAACATCTCATCATCTGTGAGCTGTCCGTCTTTGGCATACAGCACACCAAACTTGAAGTTTACAGATCCCTAGAAAAACAGTTTCCATCTGTTTACACTTATATTTGAAGAACATCATTTTAACAAATAGAAAAGGGAGGACAACAAAATGACAGTGTTCTGGGTTATTTCAGATTACGCGAATGTCAGTACGTACCCATCCATTTTCCTTAACCACTTATGCAGTACAAAGTTCAGGCAAGTTTATGGAGAATCTCAGAAACCTCAGGACAACTTACACCTCCAACAAAGTGCTATTTTATCAGGGACCGCAAGAGGAAACCAAAGTGCTCAAAATAAATGTAAGCAAACACAGGGCAAACTCTACACATGGTACAGGAGTTGATCCAAAGCCATAAAATCAATTTCCTTCTATACTCTACTTTTCTGCGCTGTGCTGTACTGTACTGTATTATGCTGTACAGTACTGTGTGGTGCGGTGCTGTGCTGTGCTGTGCGATGCTGTGCTGTGACATCATCTCCCCTTGGCCTAATGTCACTGAGAACATTTCAGGCATTTCACTCAGATCACTGCAGTCACTGGCTGCTTATCCCAGTCACTGTGATCAAAACCACAGCAACACAATGCAAATTGAGAGGATGCTGAGCATTAAGTTTCAAATGTGCCTGCACCTTTAGTGTTGTTACACAATTTGTCATTTCAATACAACATCCAAACCTGAATCCAAGTCGATAGGAGACCAAAATGCCTCCTAAAATGTGAAAGGTTTCTGTGGTAAATCAAGACCTAAGAGAAACATTTAGGGTAACACTTTCTGTCAAACTCTCATCTATAATGCACTACAGATAACATCAGAATGCATTATAATGGTCGGTATGAGAATTAAGGATGCTTTGTACAATACATTTTGAGAATTTCAGTTGTTTTTGGGTGTTTCATTGTGACAAATGCATAACAGATCTTATATTAATAATGTTATACAATAATACTTCCAAAGCTTTGTATCAAAGCTTTTATAAATGAGTAAATAGAACCGACAATATTGCAAATTACACAAAATGCAAGAACAGAAATGATAAAGACATTATTTTTCATGTGTTCTTTGTGTTTTGTCTCTCTTTTGCAGGGTGGAGACCTCAAGCAGGCATAGGTGGTGACTCTTAATTGCCCAACCAGGCCTCTAGGGGGCATTAATGGCTGCTGGCTTGTTCTGTGTGTGTCATCTCCTCCTGACCAGCACCTTTTGAATGGTTTAGCAAATACTCAATTTTCAATACTTTTCCTTTAACATTCCTTTTTTACTGATGTCTTGCTTATGTTGCGTTGTTTTTCCAATAAACTTTATTAGTTGAGTCGTATCCACCCATGGTCTCCCTTTAGATGTTGCATTACCCTGAGCCTGGCTTGTAAAAAGTCAGTGTCGACCAGGATTCCCCGATCCTGGTCCTGGAGGGCCAGTCCGTGTTTGCAGATTTCTCTGCTCAGACACACCTACTAAACTTGCTAATTGGCTAGTGAGCTGAATAAGGTGTGTTCGAGCAGGGAAATCTGCAAACTGTGTCGCAGAACGACCCTCCAGGACTGGAATTGGGAAACCCTGATGTAGACTATTAAATACCGTTAGCAAGTACAAATTTTGAGTTTAAGATATCAGGAAATGTTACCTCTTGTTCCTCCAGCACCAGCAGGTCCTGCCAAGAAATTGTATCATCGTCACTACATTGTTACTGACAGTTTGTTCCAGTTACATTTCGGTGGTTTCCCTGTTTATTGCCTGCATCTGTTACTGATACATTTGCTATAGTCACTGCTACAGATTTATTCCAAATCAAATTGCATGTGACCAGTAATAACCATGTTTGAATACAGGAATACAGTGAGTCTTCAGCATCAGACAGACGAGGGTGACATTGGGCCAGCCTGAGCCTAACCTTCTGGATCTCTGGGTTGAGTATCTCCCTGGGGGCCTTCTCAAACCTGTCAAGATTCATGGCACTGTGAAGGAAAACAGGCGAATCAGAGTGAGAGTCGGAGCAGACATCCACAGACTCCCGAGGCAGAGGATCTGGCTGGCGAGTCAGGAACGGCTTTCACTGCTGCCCGTGGGTGACTATGACCTCACTGAAGTGTTTGTGTGAATGGACACTTGAACCCGATTAATATTTAAAGAACAGCGGGTCAAATGTACGTTACTCTCCAGTTAGCTAGAACTGGCTAGAGATTTAATTGCCTATAAAACATACTTAAAATATGAATAGTATGACATAGGTGAGAACAGACAAGAGTTTCATGTAATAAAACTAGATGCTGTCTGCATGACAACAGCGCTTTCCCCTGACCCCCCCCCTCCCAATCCCTACTCCTCCCACACACCCCAAGCTCTAGTCCCCCTACACTAGGCTTGGAGGCTATCTAATGATTCATACCATCATACTGTCCATGTAGCATACCGCAGTATATGTTATTTTGTAAGATTACCAATATAATATGTAAAGTACTAACTCTTCCAAGCAAAACGGAAAAATATTACACTTACCTTAAAATGGACTTGACTGATAGTGTTTTTGTGGGGCTGTAAGGAAGAGAGATCTTGAGAGTTCCCTGTAGAAGACGGATGGACAGAATCTATGTTTAGGAACATTCCTTCTCTAATGTCATTGAAGAATCACCCAGGATTTTTGATTCCCAGATAGCCCACAAAATTCCTTTTGACTTTACCACACAGTGAGAGTAAATTATGAGACGTGAACTCAAACTTAAATTTTAGTAGCAGGCCACTGGACCACCGTGTTTGACCAGAACATGGGCATTATGGGAAATAATACTTTTGGTAATCATTTCTTTCCTCCTTTTACCCAGCAACACCTTTGAGATGCATACACTTTCTCTTCTGCTCTTCCTGAGTGGTAAAATTTGGCTTCCTCTGCCGACCCCCGGAAGATGGGCTCCCCCTTTGGGTCTGGTTAGGGTCAGGACTTCCTCTGCTGCCCCCTGGAGGACGGGCTCCCCCTTTGGGTCTGGTTAGGGTTAGGGCTTCCTCTGCTGCCCCCTACAGGACAGGCTCCCCCTTTGGGTCTGGTTAGGGTCAGGGCTTCC